ATGCCAAACCCACAAATCAAAATAACAAAACCCTTTTTCTCATTCAAAATAGGTCAGGAGTATTGAAATGAATGCCAAAATCCTACATAGGTATATTATATTAGCACAAACACAAAACATTTAACACTGGTCATCACATAATTAATTTCTATCGTAAGAAACTTACCGGCATAAAAAAACACAACATCACCTCAAGGGACAGTTGCATGCACTTAAGCGCTTCGAAAACTATGATGTTCTCTAATAATAAACACAATAACAACGTAGCCGTGTCTGTGGCGCGATCTATTGAGTATTGTCCAAAATACTTAGATAAGGCATCTTCCCCCTTTTGGCATCTTCCCCCAATTACCTTATGGCTTCCGTCATCAGAGATCAAATGGTGACCTGCTCGCTTACGTCTCACATATATGGCAGCAATCTATTGAAAGATATGGTGAAACCCTAGCCGTGGCACTTGATATCTCCAAGGCATTCGATCAAGTCTGGCACCACGGACTCCTCGCCAAGCTTCCATCTTATGGCTTGCCTCCCCAGCTATGATCTCTGCTGGCTAGTTTTCTCCCAAACAGGTCTCTCCATGTAGTGGTCGAAGGAGTTTCATCTGACTCTCTCATCATAAATGCTGGTGTTCCGCAAGGATCAATTATAGCGCCAACACTATTTCTACCCCATATCAAGGATTTGTTGGGAGCAACTTCATGTCTAGTACACAGCTTTGCGGATGATGGTACCCTCCTTACCGCCTTCTCTTCCATGGCTCCAATACCAGCAAGGCAAATCAGAAACAAACGAGGAAGAAATGTTGACAACATAAATATGGACTTGGCAACACTTCTCGAATGGGGATTCAATAACTTGGTAGATTCCAATGCAAACAAAACACTAGTATGCCATTTCTCTAGGAAAGCCGATCTCACTGTGCCCAACATAAGCTTGTCAGGAGTAACCATACCTTTGAAGACATCCATTTCGATGCTTGGTATTACTATCAGCAATAACCTCTCTTGGGAAAATCACGTGAAATCAATTGCTAAAAGTGTATCCCAAAAACTTGGTTTTCTGTTTCGGGCCAGGAGCTATTTTACTCCCAGTCAGCTGCTTATGATCTATGAGGCACAGATCCGACCTGTCCTGGAATACTGTTTCCATATTTGGAGTGCAGCACCCAAAAATACCCTGAAACTGTTGGATTCTGTCCAAAAGAGGGCAATTCGGCTCGTGGGTGATGCCTTGCTCACAAACTCACTCACTTCTCTGGAACACCGTAAAAAAGTTGGCGATCTGGCTCTATTTTATAGATAATCTCATCAAAATGCTCTTGTGAAATATCAACAATTGTTCCTCCCTTAGCAGTCCTCGCGAGATTAACCCGTCGAGTTGAGGCTTTCGCACCCTTTCGTGGTCACTTTGGAGACCTGCAGAACATTTCTTTCCGAAGACTCCGGGAACACATTGCCAAGGGACGTGTTCCCGGAGACTTATAACCTCCAGAAATCTGAGTAGTACACCAATTCCTACCTTAAATCCCTTGGTTTTCACGATGTTCTCTGAACATTACAGTATATCCCTTTTCGTGGGAACCAGAACATAAAAAAAACATAAATGTGACATGTTCATTGAATATTACTTTTTTCTGTGACGGGAAAAAAGTTTGGCATTTCATCCCTGTTGGCAGGTTATAAAATGTCACTTTTCATAAATTACTTTTTTCCTGTGGGAAAAAAGTGAGTACTTTTTTCCCGGAGATATATTTAATATTATATATACATTGTTGATGGCTTATGTTGTTTTTTTTTTAATTTTTTTATCGCTTGGAGCGCACGACAGGGAATCCCTATAATGTTCAAAGAACATCGTGCGTTCCTAGGGAGGATAGGGACAGGAGGTAGGTATTGGAATTTTTTTCGAACTTCTGGAGATTATATGTTGTTGGGAATACTTTCACAGGCAATGAATTCCAGAGCCTAGCCGAAAAATGAGTCAATAATACCGTCTCCGTGAAAGAACTGCAAGTCCTTTTATCTTCCATTCGACTTCGCGGTTACGTATATCACTGAACAACCACTAAATTCGCAATTTTTCGAAATCAAATCACAGAATTAGAATGACAGAAGTGACATCAAATATTTGATAACTTCAAAATAATGATAAAGATGCCTACAACGCAGGTGTCCCTACTGTTAAAAACTTAAAATTCCACGCCGATAATTGTCAGATTTCAAAATAATGTAATATCTTCTCAATATTGATTCATCCTTCCTTCTGTCAAAGAGAAAAATAGTGTATTATACACAGGCAAAACATAAGATTTCAGCTCACGGTTTTGATTCTCCCTCCACTAGAATCTACTATTTTTTTCCTTTATATAATAAATAACTATCGTTGTAATGTGATAAGACAAGCTTTGAAGAATCTATGTTTTTTTGTAACAGAGCCGTTGGTTTCAAGATTTATTAGCCAACTGCTGTCAGAATGCCGCAATTCTTGAATAAATGTCTACATGAGTTCCTTGATTTCTCTCCACACATATATCTTAGGGCCCGTTTTTGTAAGAAAAAACTCCTCTGGAATAGCTGATCACTGCAGACTCCCCAGAATGCAATTCCATATGTCAAAGAGATTCGATTAGGGCAAAGTGTGTAGCTCTAGCAGACACAAATCCTAATTCTGCAGCAATAGTTCCAACAGCGAAGCATCCAGAAGCTAACTCTCTACACATGAAATACCTGGAACATTCAGGTATTATCAACGATATGCAATATGGCTTCCGTCATCAGAGATCAAATGGTGACCTGCTCGCTTGCGTCTCACATATATGGCAGCAATCTATTGAAAAATATGGTGAAACCCTAGCCGTGGCACTTGATATCTCCAAGGCATTCGATCAAGTCTGGCACCACGGACTCCTCGCGAAGCTTCCATCTTATGGCTTGTCTCCCTAGCTATGTTCTCTGCTAGCTAGTTTTCTCTCAAACAGGTCTCTCCATGTAGTGGTCGACGGAGTTTCATCTGACTCTCTTATCATGAATGCTGGTGTTCCGCAAGGATCAATTATAGCACCAACACTATTTCTACTCCATATCAACGATTTGTTGGCAGCAACTTCATGTCTAGTAAACAGCTTTGCGGATGATGGTACCCTCCGTATCGCCTTCTCTTCCGTGGCTCCAATACCAGCCAGGCAAATCAGAAACGAACGAGGAAGAAATGTTGACAACATGAATATGGACTTGGCAACACTTCTCGAATGAGGATCCAATAACTCGGTAGATTTCAATGCAAACAAAACACTAGTATGCCATTTCTCTAGAAAAGCTGATCTCACTGTGCCCAACATAAGCTTGTCAGGAGTAACCATACCTTTGAAGACACCCATTTCGATGCTTGGTATTACTATCAGCAATAACCTCTCTTGGGAAAATCACGTGAAATCAATTGCTAAAAGTGCATCCCAAAAACTTGGTTTTCTGTTTCGGGCCAGGAGCTATTTCACTCCCAGTCAGCTGCTTATGATCTATGAGGCACAGATCCGACCTGTCCTGGAATACTGTTTCCATATTTGGAGTGCAGCACCCAAAAATACCCTGAAACTGTTGGATTCTGTCCAAAAGAGGGCAATTCGTCTCGTGGGTGATGCCTTGCTCACAAACTCACTCACTTCTCTGGAACACCATAGAAAAGTTGGCGATCTGGCTCTATTTTATAGATAATCTCATCAAAATGCTCTTGTGAAATATCAACAATTGTTCCTCCCTTAGCAGTCCTCGCGAGATCAACCCGTCGAGTTGAGGCTTTCGCACCCTCTCGTGGTCACTTTGGAAACCTGCAGAACATTTCTTTCCAAAGACTCCGGGAACACATTGCCAAGGGACGTGTTCCCGGAGACTTATAACCTCCAGAAATCTGAGTAGTACACCAATTCCTACCTTAAATCCCTTGGTTTTCACGATGTTCTCTGAACATTACAGTATATCCCTTTTCGTGGGAACCAGAACATAAAAAAAAACATAAATGTGACATGTTCATTGAATATTCCTTTTTTCTGTGACGGGAAAAAAGTTTGGCATTTCATCCCTGTTGGCAGGTTATAAAATGTCACTTTTCATAAATTACTCTTTTCCTGTGGGAAAAAAGTGAGTACTTTTTTCCCGGATATATATTTAATATTATATATACATTGTTGACGGCTCCTGTTGTTTTTTTTAATTTTTTTTTATCGCTTGGAGCGCACGAAAGGGAATCCCTATAATGTTCAAAGAACATCGTGCGTTCCTAGGGAGGATAGGGACAGGAGGTAGGTATTGGAATTTTTTTTGAACTTCTGGAGATTATATGTTGTTGGGAATACTTTCACAGGCAATGAATTCCAGAGCCTAGCCGAAAAATGAGTCAATAATACCGTCTCCGGGAAAGAACTGCAAGTCCTTTTATCTTCCATTCGACTTCGCGGTTACGTATATTACTAAACAACCACTAAATTCGCAAATTTTTGAAATCAAATCACAGAATTAGACTGACAGAAGTGACATCAGATATTTGATTACTTCAAAAGAACGATAAAGATGCTTATAACGCAGATGTCCCTACTGTAAAAAACTTGAAATTTCACGTCGATAATTTTCAGATTTCAAAATATTGTAATATATTCTCAATATCGATTCGTCCTTTCTTCTGTCATAGAAAAAAATAGTGTATTATACACGGGAAAAATATTAGATTTTAGCTCACGGTTTTTTGTCTCCGCTACGCGTCGGAAGACAATACAACCTAGAGCTAAAATCTACCACTTTTTTCCCTTGTATAATAAATAACTATTTCCGCCAATGTATGTAATCCTAAAAACTTGGTCGATTCATCTTCAATTTTTTCACTTTCCATACAAGATTTGGTAGAAGGATAGAAGGATAAGATATTCGCTTTCTCTATATTGAGCGATAGTAGATTTGAATCACACATGTCTTTAATTACTTCAATTAAATAAATATTGTTTGTTACAGAGCTGTTCTCCGGAAAATATCTCGATGCCGGCCCGAAGGGGGCTGTTGGCGCCCCAAAATACCTTCTTGGATACGATAGCCACACGATTCGATGGAACTCGTGAGTATATTATCCATGTTATTGTCAAGATACTAGGTGTTTTTACCATGTCACAGCATAGAGGTACGACTTTCACTATATCACAATATCGATTTATAGGGGGTGCTTGGCTAGAGGTTTGCGAAGGAAATACTTTAATAGGCACTAATAGTTTAGGGATCGCTGAAAGTACGAGACTATATCCAAACATAACAAAGGACCCCGAACTTTTAGTACGTAAAATGGTTCTCGCTGAAATTTTCCGAATTTTCAGTATGTTGTAGAATTCGATGAACTGATTGAACCTGCAGAATCGTAAAGTTCTTTGATGAACAGATTCTGAGATACAGGGCGTTGAAGTTACAAATCGGTATTTTTCATTTAATTATTTTCTCGGAAATCAAAGATGCCAGGTACAATTTTTTTTCGCTCATATCATCAACGAACCTCCATATTACTCAACATAATTCAGATGGTTCAGATAATGTAATTGTTTACAGAGAGAAACATATAAACATTTCAGTTATGTCTGGAAATTCGATGTAGTAATGAAATATTGAAAAAATAATTTAGGCATGCAATATACTATCCTCATTCCATCATGAATCACAATTCATACATTTCATACAGGGTGATTTGAAAAATTGGTGACACCTAAGACCGATTTATTCATACACATCCTGTATATTCGAGTGAATTGTTAACCTCCCAAGATAGCTGCTACCGTATGAACATGATTTCGTTGAGATATATAGAGTGATCATGAAGATTTTCGATGATGAAAATGACAAATAATCGTGTTTTTTTAAATCACCCTGTTATTCATGATTAACTCGGTGAAATTCCCTAATTATTTTTTAATATATTCATCATGCGCTCCTCAACGCTGTCTTGAAAATTCCTATCCTATCCTAAGTTTCCTATCATGACGGGTGTCATAGTTATTAATTCAGGAACTTACCATTTGCATGAAGAGTTGAAGAGACTTGTTCACTTACATTATTAAATGAAAAATACCGATTTGTAACTTCAACGCCCTGTATCTCAGAATCTGTTCATCAAAGAACTTTACGATTCTGCAGGTTCAATCAGTACATCGAATTCTACAACATACTGAAAATTCAGAAAATTTCACCGAAAACCATTTTACGTACTAAAAGTGCGGGGTCCTTAATTAATTGATAATAATAAAGTATGAAACATTATCGGTAGTTATGATATGTATGAATAAACAACAATGCATGTGAATTCCTAATAACAACTCACATTATAATGACTATTACGACGAGTTCCTGTCAAGTCAAGAGTAGCCCCAGACCAGAATAACTTCGGAATCCTCAAATACAATCTTTACTAATAATAATAAATAGGCTCCGAAACTACCTCATAACAATACTTTTCGATGTTTTGGAAAAGGAAAAGACTTTCATTTGTTATAGACACGGCAGCTTGTTTGTTTTGGAGCAGGTCGTGAGTTAGTTCTTTTTTTTTTTGGTTACTAGGGGGGTTATCCTTTTGTCTCAGTTCTCGCAGCGAATTACTGAGAAAAAAATTCAAGATATTTATATAAGCCAAAGTGACTGTTAACAGATTTATTCACCATAACATGTCAATAATAGGTATCTAGAATGGAGGTAAATAATTTTCTACTATGATTATAACTCAGTTCAATGGTAGATTTCCCTTCATATAGGCCTATACTTTGGGTTCACAGAGTCTCTAACAGACTCAATAATTCCATCAAATGTGAATTCCGATTCAAGACTGCTATGTGTTGTTGACAAGTACTTGAATATCTCTTGACATGAGAGAGTGAAAAATTACTATTAAAATGTCCCCAGACAGGGAAAACAAAATGATATGTTGAATGTGTGTCAGATGTAATCAGACAGGGAAAACATTGCATGGAAAATTCTGACCTGCAAGTTATGGATTTTGTACCATGAGATTCCAACTGTGGGCCACTGGATCTCACTACCCGGTTGAAAAGAAGACAATCCTCCCTCAGTCGGCTTTAGGGGTTAGATGTGCTAGGACAACTGGATTCCTACACAGTTGACAGGAGCCACAACCACCTGGAGACCTGGGCACTTGGTTCAACCCAGGGCAACTGGATGCTGCGCTGGAACGCTGGCTGACGGGTCCACGAGCTGCCACCAGGGCAAGCTCTTCCTAAAATCCAAGCTGGACCAGGACGTCCCACTATCCGACTAGGCACTGGGAGTTCAGGCTCCGAAGCAACAAAAATCCTAGGGATGATGGATCATCTACCACACCAGGAGTCTGGACTCCCCTGGACTTCCTGTTAGAAGTCAGGATCACTGGGTATCTGTACCAGTAGGGCTGCTAGTGACTTGCACTGTTGGCAGCGAGGATGCTGCCAGATATTCCGGGCTGTCGGGTCCTAAAGATGCCCAAGGACATACACAAAAAATCCCCAGGATCCTGCTCCTACCTTCAAGTGCGTATTGGTAACTCAGGCTTCAAAGCAACGAAGATCCCTCAGGTGCCTCAAACATCGAAAAAAGTGTCCACGTGATGCCCAAAACAGTGAATTCCAGAAAACAGTTCAAGATTTCCAAATGCTCATAGTTGATGAAATATTCGATTTTCCTTGATCCATCCAGTTAACAGTGTTGAGTGTTAAAATTCTATTCCAGAAACATGCCATGTGGTCAAAAGAAAATGGAATCTATATCATATATCATCCACTTCTGTACCCCTTGCTCCCCTGTATAAGGCCGTGATTTCTGAAATGTACATACTCTATCGAAGATCAACCACAAAAAGATATTTAATATTTCTCACCTTCCTATCGGAAAGGCCTAACACAAAAATCGGTGTTCACCAACGGACCTGATCGCAGGAGAGCCAAGATCAGAAAGGGCCTCATTTTGGCATCAACACATGAAACCTCTTCGTATGAGAAGGAATCACCAGAAAGGATGAACAAACGGAAATTGCTCAAACAATAAGTTTCCGTAAATCAGATTACTTGCGATTCACCGCAAAAATTATTGCAAACCAAATTTAGTCTCTGCGCAGCGTCAAGCTAGCCACCCAAATGATATGATTCAAGGATGCAACTTGGAAGAAATATCAAATATCTATCATGATATCGATAATCGATACATTAGTCGATCCACCAGTCGATCCACCAGTCGATCCACCAGTCGATACAAAATTGTGAATATCCCTGTACCATTACAAGCCACTGACACTAAACGCGACAAACAGTGTTCTGCTGGCAAGAGACTAAGATGTAAACTACAGTATTCATGGACATCTGACAATAGTCTAAGATTGGATAAAAAGTGGACGAGAATAACCTAACAGTCATCCAGTCATGGACATTGAAAATGAAAACATTTATCAAGATGGAATTAAATAAAGTACCACAAAAGCTAGAAAAGAAATCATCGAGTTACGCAGTGCATCTTCACAAAGCTTCCCCACTACCTATATATAAATGTGCAAAATTCACAGTATGGAACACAAAAAGGCAAATTTTCACGTTACAACCTACTAGACCGATTTGAAAAATCCTTTCACCATTAGAAGCCAACATTATTCCTGGTGAACATAGGATACTTTTCATCACTGGAAAATACTTCATTTCTACGGGAAAACGGGTAATAGGACAACGGGTATAGTATAAGAATTATCCTTCCCTAACTTCTGACCCGATTTATTTGAAATTCCATATGGGTATTTCGATGGTTTTCTGGATGATTTAGAAATACATTTAGAAGCGGTAGGTGGCGCTGCTGTCGGTATGTCAACTACTTGAAGGCTTGGCCGATTGGGTTGAAATTTTCAATACGTAAAACAAAAAAAAACAAATGATACTGACAGAATGAAAATAGGTGTAAGTAAGTATATAATAGTATCTATGGGTATAAAAAAATGTGCTGTAGATACGCGCATAGCTTAGAACGACAGAACGACTGCAGCAAATATGTTATTGTTTTCAATGGGTACATCAAACGTGCAAAACCAGGCCAGACAGATAGTAAATATTTATAAACAACAGTTTATTGGATTTTCACGTTTCTCTTGAGAGTTCCTTCGTCAGTATTTGATACGTTATTAACGAATTACCAACGAAGAACTTGGCTTTAGTCAACTAAAAAACAAGACAAGACAAGACGTGACATTGACAGCTGAGTAAAATCTCTATGAACATCTATCAAGACAGTACAGGGAGATTCATATCAGTATTCATAGTTCAATGTCAACGGATGATTTAATTAACTTAGTGTTTATAATACCCTCATGGTTCGAAATTACTATCATACCGAATGTTTTACTCGTGACAGTATTACCATTAGTATGTGAAATCTATAGGCGAGTAAACAAATCCTTTTCAAATCGTCAGTTCCCCGCACTGCTTTTATATGGAAGGTTGAAATAAAAAGCTTGAGCTGAGAAACAGGACGTTTTCACCAAAAACCTTTTTTGGTTTTGATAAATGAAGTCGATTCATTATTATTATTATCATAATTATGTCTGCTATGAGGATAATCTGTTTTCTGCCTTTGGATTCCCTTGTTTTGAGTCATTCAAAGAGAAAAAAATGGGTGTATTCAATTTCCTTCAGGTCCACTTTTGCAGGATTCTGATAAATACAGCGACGTGAAGAAACAAACCAAAATAATCTACGTAACCTCCAGAGCAGATACGCATCCCAGGCAGCACAAAGAGGTCCTGAAGATATCTTGAAGATATCCTCCTAGGAAATTGTGATACCTTTTGTAACTTCTTTGAGAGATCGACCCGCTATATCTCCTCCAAATGTCCGACACCTAGGATGAGCTCAGCGAGGTCTTAAAGGTATCCCACGCGAAAATTCTCATACAATGCCCTCAGGCGAGCACTTTGAGATATACATGCTCGCAATGAGCTGTTCGAGAAATTCGCATACATAGCTTTGTGACGAGGACATTGGGATATTTGCATCAATAATTGCTTCTGGCGGGGTCTTTAAAGAGTATTCTGTGTTTAAAGTACTCACGACTACT